GCCACCTTAGGTGTACGTGGCTGGCGCCTTAGCCAGTTGAACTATAGGTGCCGAGCCGGATTTTTCATTTTCTATTAAGTTTTTCCTTCCCAGGTAGCTTTAAAAGAGTCAAAAGGTTACTTGCCTGCATTTCCACTTCAGCAGAATCCCCTCTCTGCAGCGCCCCAGCCTCCAGTTCTGAGATACTTTCACCCGATCCTTCACAGGCACATTGGTCATCCTATGTCCAAACAGAACAGATAATCCAGTCACTATAATTCATTGACAAAACTGAGAAATTCTTGAAGTCAGGATTCAGACACATCCAGAATATAACCAAATATAACCAAAGAGATAAAGGACCAGGAAGAAGTAACTCTTTTCTCCACACTTGAATAACCAAGAAAGACAAGGAGAAAGGCTTGTCCTTTAAGCCATTACAAGTATCTTATAGAGATGCCAAATCAACAGATACACGCAACAAATAGTGCTGGAACCACTGGATATCAGTATAGGAATAAATGAGCCCTGACCCCTATGCCCCATACCATATAAGATCTATTCAAAATAGATCATAAACCTAAGCATAACATCTAAAACTATAAAGCTTTTAGAAGAAAATATATGTAAACATCTAATGGGATAGACAAAGGTTTCTTAGGACATAGAAAGTAGTAACATAAAAGAAAAAAAATCCAATAAATTAGACTTTATCAAATCAAAAACTTCTGCTCATCAGGACAGGCACGGTGGCTCACTCCTGTAATCCTAGCACTCTGGGAGGCCAAGGCAGGTGTATTGCCTGAGCTCACAAGTTCCAGACCAGCCTGTGCCAGAGCAAGACCTTATCTCTAAAAAACTGTGTTTATAATAATAATGTGTTTATCTGCTTTCCAGTTGATAGATGCCTGGGCTTTTTACAACTTGTAGCTATTATGACTGAAGTTCCTATGAACATTCTTGCATAAATCTTTTTGTAGATATATGCTTTTATTTCTCTTGGGTAATTGCTAGGTTATAGAGGAG